CGAAGATTATAACAGCTACTGAAATTTCATCTCACGATCATGAATGGCGTTTCAGTTCTCATCTATTTATTCCAGTAATCACTTAACATCGGTTAGGCTATAAATACTACTGCCCGCCTTAAAGATAACCTAAATATTACAAGGTACCTAAACATTAGGCGAATTTATAAAAAACTAGTGATCCCGCAGTAGTCGAAATTCGACTATAATTAATTGGAATTGTAAGTTTGAACACTATTATGATTGTATTTTATACTTCTATTATTATAAATTTCGCCAAGACTACACTATAAAAAATATTAACAAAGACAAACAATATTTAATCCATTCTCAATTTGACAACAGACGTCAAGAACAAAAGTTTGACAATAAATAGTATTGATGCGTGTGTGCGTCAAATACATGGTATGTAGTGTGTGTAATGTTTTCTTTATCGATTTAATGTATATTTTATGCATTATTTTAAAAAAATATTATCATTCTGCACTTCTTCTCTATATTCTTTATAAGTGTGGAAAATTTCATACACCTCCGTCCGCGCAATTTTCGTAAAAAGGGATACAAAGTTTTTGCTTCACGTATTAATATATAGATGAGTAAGTACCACCATACTGTTTATTTTTGCCGCAAAACTGTCATTTGTTTGAATGGTCGGACGACGGTTATACAACACAATTGAAATTGCATGTTATGAGTATGTTATTGGCAACCACTTAACACCAAGTGGAACACGGACTCGTTCATCGATCTTGAACAACAGAACGAACACTAGGTTGAGCCGCAACATGCTACAACACTCCACAATTAAACCCTTAGACTTGTAGTACAAAATCGATATAGCGAATTCTAACGCTATTTGATACGTGAAGCCTTATTAAAATTGTACGTATTAATGCTCCAGTACATTGATAGAGACGAGTTTATTTGACTACTGACTGACTGATAAATCCGTCCTTATTTAGACATAGAGAGTCTGATGGTACCGAGCTCGCACGTGGGGTACCATCGCCTTGCTTAATTACCATGGCAGATATCATATAGCCAGGATAGTGGTTATTTTAATATATATTATATGTAGCCTATATTGAAGTCGTCGTGGCCTAAAGGATAAGACGTCCGGTGCATTCGTTTCGAGCGATGCACTGGTGTTCGAATCTCGCTGGCGGGTACCAATTTTTCTAATGAAATACGTACTCAACAAATGTTCACGAGTGACTTCCACGGTGAAGGAATAACATCGTGCAATAAAAATCAAAACCCGCAAAATTATAATTTGCGTAATTACTGGTGATAGGACCTCTTGTGAGTCCTCACGGGTAGGTACCACCGCCTCGCCTATTTCTGCCGCGAAGCAGTAATGCGTTTCGGTTTGAAGGGTGGGGCAGCCGTTGTGACTATACTGAGACTTTCGAACTATATCTCAAGGTGTGTGGCGCATTTACGTTGTAGATGTCTATGGGCTCCAGTAACCACTTAACACCAGGTGGGCTGTGAGCTCGTCCACACATCTAAGCAATAAAAATAAAAAAAATATGATTTATGACGTAAATCTTAAAAGAGGTTATAATATGTTATACAGGTGACATAAATGGTATTTTGAATTATGAAACATCAGAAGAACAAACATTAGAAATATTAAAATATTTTTGAATATTAAAATATAATAGTAATAATAATAATAAATAAATATTTACTAACAATCACGCCACGTTAACTGGTCCCGTGATAAGTTCGTAAAGAACTTGTGTTACAGGTACCAGATAACGGATATAAATGTAAGATTTTTATCATACACATACATAATAATATATTTAATATACATCCATAACCCTGGAAAAGACATTTATATTTATCATACAAATATCTTCCCTTGGCGGGATTCGAACTCGCGACCCCCTTGTGTAGTGACCATGTCACTTACCACTACACCAGACGGCCGTTATATAAAAAAGATAAAAACTGAACAGTTGAAGCAACAGCTTTATATGTTTGTTTATCTTTATAGAGCAACTCAGTTTGTGGTACAGGTTTACTAGGCTAAATTTTATTTTGATGTGAATAAAATCATGAGAATTTCTTTGCCCACAAAGCACTAACAGTAACTTAAGGTTTGGCAATCTGTTTGTCTTGGGTTCCATCTTCACAATAAGACTATCCTACTTGTTGGATAACTTGGTTAATGTCCATTGACTGCTACGTTTTTTTTTTTATATATATAATTCTCTACATTAAAGACGATAAGGTCAGATATCCAGTTTTTTTTATTAATGAGTACGTAGCCGGTAGCTTTAGCGGTAATAAATTGTTAGACGCATAGCACGAACTTTTTAATCCCTTGCTTTAGAGAGACGAGGAGTGAGTGTTGAGATGACGGCTGATAGAAGAGAATGGAAGAAAAAAATTTGCTGTGCCGACCCCACCTAGTGGGATAAGGTGGTGTAAAAGAAGAAGCAGATACATGTGTCCTCTAATATCTCATTAAGGTACCTAGCTTTCTTAGGAGACAAATGTAAATACTTAATTAAATGATATCAAAATATTTAAGTCGTCGTGGCCTAAGCGATAAGACGTCCGATGCATTCGTGTTGAGCGATGCACCGATGTTCGAATCCCAGGCGGGTACCAATTTTTCTAATGAAATACGTACTCAAGAAATATTCACGATTGACTTCCACGGTGAAGGAACAACATCGTGTAATAAAAATCAAACCCGCAAAATTATAATTTGCGTAATTACTGGTGGTAGGACCTCTTGTGAGTCCGCGCGGGTACCACCACCCTGCCTAATTCTGCCGTGAAGCAGTAATGCGTTTCGGTTTGAAGGGTGGAGCAGCCGTTGTAAAAAAAAAAATTTACCTCCACCAAGTCCCGATAATATTATGTCTGTGACAAAATTTATGAACTACAAATTCAACATCCCACATTCCTCAAATAAAGAATTCCCTTTTCCTCTTTTACGGTCATCGGAAAACACGAACGATACAAGTATGCGCAGACTTCGAATTGCAAATATTATTAACAAATATACTGAGTCTGACCCAGGTTTAAACCCAGATCCGGTCCCAGTTATACCCAATTTGATACAATAGCAAGAGTCGGTCATCGCTAGACCAAGCAGCGAATAAAAATAAGTTTTTTCAAAGTACTCCCACGTCACTCGTTCCACGTCCAAAAACTTTTCTTGAATCAACAATAGCTTGACGAAGTTTGAATTCAGTCGAATAAAGGACGTACTAACAAAGAAATACTCAAAATTCACTTATAGGGCACTAGCTTTTGCCCACGACTTCGTCCGCGTGGAATAGTTACTTTGGCATAAAGCAAAATTTTAACCATGACTTCATTTTCGTAGAAAGTGAAAATATCTTGTCGTACGTTATTTTAGCGAAACTTTAACCATTTCCGCAGCGCACGCAGCGGAAGCTCTCAAAAAGTAAAAAAACCCCGATTTTGAAACATTATTTATTGGTGCTCCATTTGTTTTGGTCTTAGCGTTATTTTATATATCCTATAGCCTTCCTCAATATATGGGCGATCTAACACTGAAATAATTTTTCAAATCGGACCAGTACTTCCTGAGATTAGCGCGTTCAAACAAACAAACAAACTCTTCAGCTTTATAATATTAGTATAGATATTATATTTGATGTCATTCGAAATTTAAACTTAAAAACGAAAATTTCGAAGCCACGTATTATAAAAACTCAGATGGTACATACAGAATAAGGTTACGATCCTATTTCATGTTATACTGTTGATCTAACTTTCTACCTTTATAATATATTTCCTTCAGTTACCGTTATTCAGAGACATCATTTATACATATTTATTACCAATGAAATGATAGCACAATTAATTCGTCTGTAAAAAAAGATTATTTTTTATTTATTTATTGCATAGATTGGTGGACGAGTTCACAGCCCATCTAGTGTTAAGTAGTTACCGGAACTGATAGACATCTACAACGTAAATGCCGCCACCCATCTTGAGATGTGAGTTCTAAGGTCTTAGTATATCTTACTTGGTTACAACGGCTGTTCAAACCTGTTCAAACTGTTCAAATCGAAACGCATTATTGCTTCACAGCAAGAATAGTAGGGTGGTGGTACCTACCCGTTAGACTCATTAGAGATCCTACCACCAGTAATTAAGTAAATTATAATTTTGCAGGTTTGATTTTTATTACACGATGTTATTCCTTCACCGTGGAAGTCAACCTCATCGCTCAACACGAATGCACTGGACGTCTTATCCTTTAGGCCACGACGACTTCGAACCATATAATATTACTATACAATATTTGAAACAACTCAAATATTAATATTATAAACGAAAGATTTAACCGTAAAAATAGTTATAATTATGTCTTCATGGATCGCATCAAGTAGATGTGCGTGAGGAGCATTGTTTTTGTCTGTAACAAATGTATTTACCAGTACAAATGAGCCTAGGGTGGTATTACTCTACTCCATTATTGGTAGTTCTATACACTGCATCGGTACGTTGATGATTGAGAAAGCTTAAGACACAAATTTTAAGTCGAATGTACTGTATAACGGCCATCCTATTCTTCAAATCGGAAAACGAGACTACATGATTACAGAAATAGGAAAACACTTCAAAACCTGTATAAAATATACAAAGCATTCCTTTTTTTTTTCAAAATTGTTCAACTAGTTCTATTATGATTCTACAGTAAGATATTATTTTTTTATTAAAAATATGAAATAAATAATGTATAAAATTTTAATTAAATATTTCCATAATTCTGATTTATTTTTATAAAAATTATAGATGAGCATACGGCTTATCTGATGGTAAGTAATCACCGTCGCTCACGCTGCGATAAGGATCGAAGACACATAGCTTTTATTCAAATTCTAAATTCCTCCAAAACATCGAGATCACTATTATTATTATTGGGGAAAAAATATACATACAATATATTTTTATAAATAAAAAAAACAAAAATAAAATTAAAGACATTCCATTGCACTCACCAAAGCATATGCTTCAGCATAGCACGCTCACTCAAACACTACACATAAACACTAAAAACACGAGTCAAACAAAAACGAACTCTAGGTTCACTACAATTACTATCACTTTAAAAAAAATAAAAGTCTCAAACAAGTTTTAAAAAAATTGTTACGAAAAATTTATTTTGCGAAATATTTCTATTTTAGGTAAGGAAAATCGCCACCTCGCACACAACCTCTCGCCGCAAAACCGCGACGTAAACTAAGTCTTCGGAACGAGGAAATCAACCCTTAGTTTTCCGCGACAAAGCGAGAGAGCGCGAAGGTTTGATGAGGAAATGCATAATACCGAAAGAGAGAGATGGATAACGCACGTGGCGTTGCAAAGACTGCAACGGTCATTGCCACGGTAATTTTGGATGCAATCAAAGGTGTCCTACCTCTATTGTAAGTTAAGTTGTACTCACTTAAAATAATGACAGGTGTATGTATCTAAGATCAAACTTTTTAATTAATTAAATATTTGTTCAAGTAAATCATTTATATTTTCCTAGTGTTATAGTGTATTATAACCTTTTAATTATAGGGTTTCATGTTACACTTACAACATACTAGTATTTATGTAAATTAAGAAGAGCTCAATATTGTTGGTAAATATGATAAACATACAGAGTTTTGTTGTGAAACCTTTGCAAAAAGTGTTTATGTTTAGTTTTTTTTCCTGAGCCTATTGTGCTACGCCTTGACTGAGCTACGAGTATTGTAGATGTGCTACGACTAGATATCATTGCTACGTGCTCTACGGGGCTACGAGGCTACGTAAAGGCTTTTTAGTATTAATTGCTTTTTCTCCCTAATAGATAGGCAGTATAGAAGCCGAGCTTGCAGCGCACTTGAGAGTAAGTAGCCTTAAATCGCATTGCTAGCGACACAGCGAATTAAAAAGCAATGATCACCAAATATGCATTTATTAATATCTAATGGTTAATTTCAACACTGCAACTTTATATATAATATTAAGGCAGGTGATGGTGTCTGTCCCGGGGGAAGGATTTGCGCGAGTCTGCTCGTCTTTCCTGCGCGGGGGTGGCCTTCGTCATCGGCAGGATCCGACGGTTGGGTCTGGAGGTGGCGCTTGATAAATCCCAGGCCCTGTTGTTTCACGGGGCCCGGAGAGCGCCGCCTCAGGGGGCCCACCTCGTGATCGGAGGCGTTCGCGTCGAGATCGAGGCAACCGGGTTGCGGTACCTCGGTCTCGTACTGGACGGTCGTTGGAGCTTCCGCGCTCACTTTGAAAGATTAGGTCCCCGACTGATGGCGGCCGCCGGCTCGCTGAGTCGGCTGTTGCCGAACGTCGGGGGGCCTGACGTGGTGGTGCGCCGCCTCTACACGGGGGTGGTGCGGTCGATGGCACTGTACGGGGCTCCCGTGTGGTGCCACGCCCTGACCCGCGACAACGTTGCGGCGTTGCGACGTCCGCAGCGCGCGATTGCGGTCAGGGCGGTTCGTGGATACCGCACCGTCTCGTTCGAGGCGGCGTGCGTGCTAGCTGGGACGCCTCCCTGGGACCTGGAAGCGGAGGCGCTCGCTGCGGATTACGCGTGGCGATGTGATCTCCGCTCCAGGGGGGAGCCGCGTCCCGGCGCGGCGGAAGTTCGAGCGCGGAAGCTTCAATCTCGGCGTGCCGTGCTCGAGGCGTGGTCTCGCCGCCTGGCGGACCCCGCCTACGGGCGACGGACCGTCGAGGCGATCCGCCCGGTCCTCTCGGACTGGGTGAATCGCGACCGAGGACGTCTCACCTTCCGAGCGACGCAGGTGCTCACGGGACACGGCTGTTTCGGTCGCTACCTACACCTCGTCGCCCGGAGGGAGCCGACGCCGAAGTGCCACCACTGCAGTGGCTGCAACGAGGACACGGCGGAGCACACGCTCGCGTACTGCACCGCTTTCGCGGAGCAGCGCCGCGTCCTCGTTGCAAAAATAGGACCGGACTTGTCGCTTCCGACCGTCGTGGCTACGATGCTCGGCAGCGACGAGTCCTGGCAGGCGATGCTCGACTTCTGCGAGTCCACCATCTCGCAGAAGGAGGCGGCGGAACGGGAGAGGGAGAGCTCTTCTTCCCTCTCGGCGCCGTGCCGCCGCCGTCGAGCCGGGGGTCGGAGGAGGGCGTTTGTCCAGCTCCAGCCCCTATGAGGAGGCAGTCTCCTCCCGGTGATGGTCACGGGGCGACCTAAGGGGGTTGAGGCTGCGCCGCACGCTACCGTCACTCTAGCGCGCTGGCACCAGGAGGACGGGACGGCGCGTCGGCGGCTGCGGACTGCGATGCGGTCCGCATTTTCGTCGTCGCTGTCGTCGCCGAACATACTGTTGAAGAGCAACCCGGTCGGCGGTGTATCGCGTTCCGACCCGGCAGGCTGGTTCTGGCCCAGCGGGGTATCCCGGAACACCAGCGGCACCGCCCGGGCGGCCTGGTAGGGCCGCCGTACCGCGGAGACCGACGTCGTTGGTCGTCGACTATCGCCTCGACGACCCGTCGGTCGGGCGTCCTCGGGGTGGCGCCGCGTGTCTGGTTGTAGTGTTGACCGCGGGAACCCCCCTACTCTGAACGGGTTCTGACCCCGGACGGAGATCGGACGTTGGGTGTAAGAGTGCAGGGGAGTCGTTTAGTGGGTGGGCCCTAAAATCCTTGGGCCCGCGATCTGCTCTCAACACCTGCAGATCGTTGAGTCTCACATACCCCGCGCGCCCCCTAGGCGCGGGGACCTCGTAGGAGGATCGGCCCCCGGCCCGAAAAAAAAAAAAAAAAAAAAAAAAAATGGTGATGGTGTCTGTGGACATCAGTAACCAAATAATACAAAAGATGCCTGCTAAAAAAAATATTACTTCATTTTTTTCATCCATCTAAACTCACCTTTACTTGGCTCTCTATCGTTTAATTCCTCACTCGATTAGGATTTTTTTGCAAATTATTCACATTCCCCCGACAAGCTTCGGAAGTTTTAATGGGCACGTCCGATCAATACGCCGCATAATATATTAACTATGGTTTATGTTTTTTGTATGTTTATTTCTAGTTCTACTATAGACAGACGAGCATATGGCCAACCTGATGGTGAGTACTTACCATCGCTGGTAGACAAAAGCAATGTCAGTGGCACAAGCGGGCACCTACCTACCAATGTCGTGGGTTAAGTCATGGCACAGGTTTTGTGTAAAGTTTATCATATTACTTAGAAACGAACCTAAAAGTGTGATCCTAAAAGTAACCCATATTATTTTCTTGTGAGGAAGCTTGACCGTGGTTCTAGTACCGTGAACTCAACCAAAACCATTATCCACAATACTGGTTTACAGGATCAACGGACTTTTAGTTCGAAGTAGCATTTATTACACGGTACTTGACCCGATACCCAGTTCTAAAGTCACCATATATGATCGCGGAATATTTGATGGAGGATTGATTCCGATCCGGTAGTAGATTCATTCGCGAAGCAGTTACTCTTGAGTTGTTAGGTCTTCTTTGGAGGCTTTCGGGTAGTTGTTAGCAAATCTCACCCCTCCTGGCTAAGCCTTTGCTCGTCCACCTGTCCTCGTAAAATTGGAAAGACCTCCGGGCCAGTAATCTCTCAAACATAAAAACGGAGGAATTGCGACTGGAGACTAATTTTATAAAATATTAGACATGCGAATGGGTTTACGGCCCATCTGATCTAAGGCTGCCGAAGTCTACCGACATGAACAACGAAAATGGGACCACCCACATTGAGAGACGAGGTGGAAACTTCAGTCTCAAAGGCATTGTATGACGGCACGGTATGCCGAGCCCGCATGGGTACCACCACCACGTCTATTTCTGCCGTGAAAAACAGCACGGTTTTTCGGTGAGGCGACCGTTGTATTATAAAACTGAGACTCAGAACCAATTTGTCAAGGTGGGTAGTGGCATTTACGTTGCTGTTGTCGTTAGCCTCAGGTTATCTCTTAACACCAGGTGATCCAAAAGCAACAAACTGGTGGCTTCTACTTTCCAAACCGGTGTACATGATTGCTTCGCGGTAGAAACAAACAGGATAGTGGGATCTGTCCATGTAGGCTGATAGTACGCCCTAGGACCAATAAATTCCAATTGGCCATTTTAGTACACTGATAAACCATTTATGTTACAAGTCAAATTTTTTACTTGTTGTTATTTATTGTGTATCTTTTCTTTTTTAGCTTGTAATGTGTATTGTATGCCTAATAAATGAATAAGTAAAAAAAAGAAATAAAGAAATAAGATATCATACTTAAAGAAAGCTCTTGTCCTTTCTTCGGTGACTCCCTTCGTCACATTTTTGACACCCGCGGGTAGAGATGGGATGGTGCTGCTCTAGGTAGCGAGCAATCCTTAACACCTCACGAAAACTAGATTGTCGTAATTAATTTCATTATTAACTTTCCGTTTAAAAGAGTGCTTTTACAATTAATTCGGTTCATGCTCGTTAGTTAGTTCAATGAATAAATGTACTATACTATCTCGAATAACACTTACATTTCGGGCTGACATTTTAAAAATTGCGTTAATACCAAATAACCATAGTTTCGGAATGACACGTGTGAGAGGTACCGTCGTGACCGCGTTGTTGGCAGAATTTAAAGGGACGAGATAACATGACGACGACACAAGACTCTTTTGATCGACGAGCCGTGCTCTAGCTTAGTGATGGGACACAGGAAATCAGTTTTATCGATAGTTATACTAAAACTATATGATTATGTTCTTTTTCTTAAGATGTCTTTTTTTTTAAATCACATTTGCTATATTTAATGGCATGTCACAAAAGCTACAAGTCTTCTTAAATATCAAAACTTAAAATGTCTATCGTGAAACACTAAAGAATAACAATTGCAATATTGAATCCATAGTTAAACACACATCAGTCGCAGTTACAATAAAAATATTGAAGTATAGATTGAGTATAGGCTATCTTCGTGCCCCAAACTGAAATGAATGTAGGTTACCAGAAATTTTAATCATAAGTATGAAATAATATTAAGAATAGTATTAATTATACTACATCATATTATGATACATGCCATATATTTCAGAATATATTTCAAAAATGTTTGATAAGAAACCGATCGCCTAGAAGGGATTGTTACGCCACTTATTAGTGAAAAGACCACCCACTATACAAATTACATCGGCCTATTGATGAATTTCCAATGCAAATTATGTATTCGAGTGTTTTCTTCTT